AAAAAAAAGGAAAACAAAATTGTGTACCACCGTGCCTTGCTTAGGTGTGTTTTTGTATTAGAAAAATTTAAACAAATACAAAATATAAAGAACAGTGTGGTAGATCTCCATTTAGTCACCAGCAAAGCTCAACAGTGCCTGCTCACCAATTTCAGTTCATGTCTCCTTCCTCCCACTCCCTAGTATTTGGAAGCAAATCTCAGATAGTTCATCTATATGTGTTAAAGTGTCTACTGACAGGTGGAAAAAATTTCAAGTATACTACTACTATACCTTGAAAATTAAAAGTTATTATTTAATATAAAACATCCAGTAAATAATGCTGGAGAGTCTTAAGGATGAAATAGACATGTGACTTAATAGGATACTTGGAGAGCAAGCAGAAGAAGGGATTGGGAAAAAAAAAGGACCAGTCCACACTTGAGACAAGTGTTTCCCTAAACATTGCCTTAACAAACACACATCTGAAAGGTTATTTCCCTGCACTGGGTCTCTAAGGAGCTCCCAGAACCTAAATACAAAATCCCAATGCATCTGCCTCTTAGGGTCACTGCCGTGGCTTCATGTGCTTCTGCCTTCACCTGATGTACTGGCATCCAGGGATGGCGTCACTCAAGGACACTGGGTATCTACTTTGTTCTGGAGGAGCTAAAATGATGCTCTTCTCCCAAATGCTGGGGTTCATGCAGCCTTTAAGGCATGCAGGAATGTTGGAAGCTGCACATTATGGTACGCAGTCAGACACAAGGATGTCCCCACCGATCAGTCTGCTTAAGAAGTTTGCTAAAGCCCCCTCCTGAAGAGGCAGAACTTCCTCAACAACCAGGTTATTGGATGACCTTCATCCCCAGATGTTTATGAAGCTCAGCCAGGGTAGGGCATGGTTCTGAAGGACCACAGCAAGCCTTACTACTTGAGATGCAATGCACAGATAGCTGGCAAATTCTTCCACACCCTACGAGGACCTCACCGCTGCCTCAGGCCATATGCCTAGGACAGGCTGCACATGGGCACTTCTGTGGCTGGTCACCTCCCTCTAGTGTGCCTTATAGACAAATCTTGCCTGGATGCTGTCAGACCCCATCCTTAGCCTCTTCTTCCCACAACAGCAGGGAATTCAGTCTATCTACCCATCATGGAGATCTTTGCTTGTTTGGGTTGCTCAGTCCACAGAAATACCCAAAGCTTGGTCAGTTTCAAGGTGATTTGTTTTTCCACTGGAGGGCACGGTGCATGTGTGTGTGTGTGTGTGGTGTGTGTGTTCACTCATGAACTGTGGAGGGGCCACTGGGCCTCTAAATTTCTATGAATAACTATTGAATTTCTATGATGATTTCCCTGTGGCTTCTGAGGGGATCTATTAGGCGTCTACTTGGATTCCATTAAGATAGTAGAAGGATGTTATGTTTATCCACAAGAAGTATACACCAATCCTATAAAGACCCGAAGAGGTTTTCAAGTGTGAACCTCCCAGTTTTGGCTTGTGGGTGGATGAGCAAAGAGCTTTGCCTTCAGCGGTCCCGCCCCCGCCCTATAAACTACACCGCACTGCTCTTTCGCTGGCCTCCTTCTGCTCTACTGCCCTGCATAGAATCAGTTTAATGAGACAAATTTAAAAAAATGAATAAAAGGAAAACCCTTGAGCAAACAGCACATGGTGTGCTTGGCAGAGGGTATCTCTGACATGAAAGGATGTTGGGGTGCATCAAACATGCCCGAGACAGACGCGAAGTGCCTGGCCCCTACTGGCTTGCAAAAGGCATGGAGATCCATTTCCAGCACCCTGGCTGGCTACCCCAGCCCTCTTCTTTCCCTAATGTTGGGTCCCTGTTGTCAAAGCTGTCTTTGGGAGCTCATGTTTGGGGTGCAAGCAGAAGGGCGTCTTCTTAAGCTCCACCCATATTGGGCCACAGTCACTGGCCAACTGCTGGAGGCTGGGCTGCTCCCACGAGTGCTGGCTCCTGGTCAGGTCGGGCAAGTTCCCACAAGCACTGTTCTCCACCCCAGGGTTGGTGGAGGACAGCTGCAGACAGGCCTCTCTGGCCAGGCAGCTGGGAAGAATCAAGGGGCTGGTGGTGGTGGGGAAGCTTGAGCTAGGGTTGGGACAGCTTGAGCTAGGGTTGGGACAGAGGGAGAAGAAAAGATGGCAGACCTGGGACGGGCAGGACTCCCGAGAGCTCGGAGACTGACAACCATTGGCCCAGTTCCTGAAGGTCAAGGCGATGTCTCCTGATTTATCTGCCCTCCTCTTGGATCCAGTGCCCTCCAGTAGAATTTTCTATGCTGATAGAAATAGGTTTTCACTGTATGGTATGCCAACTCCCATCCGACCCCCAGTAATCAAATATGGCTAATGAGCACTTAAACAGCCATCTTACAACTAAGGAACCGAATGTGTAAAATTGCCAAATTTTAGTATTTAGATATTAACTTGTAAAACGGGTGAGTGGCAGCCCCACTGTTTTCATTTATTCTTTTGAGATAGGATCTCATGTAGCCCAAGCCAGCTCTAAATTCACCATGTAGCTGAAGGTAGCCTCGAACTTCTGATCCTCCTGCTTCTACAGCTCCAGTGCTGGGATTGCAGGTATGCATCCCTCCTCCCGTATGTGGAGGTGCATGTTGAATCCCAGCTTTTTGCATACTACATTAGCTCTCTAAGAATTGAGCTATGTCCTCTGCAGCAACCATATTGGTCAGGGCACTTGGGTGCAGGTGGCACTCGCTAGATGTCCCTCCCGGGTCTGGACAGCAGCAAGCTCTACCTACACAGGAGAGTTCTTAGCTGTCTGCAGTAGCGATTCCTGTAGATCCACTGAGTGTAGATCACCAGACAGAGCTGTGAACATACCTTGCCTGTGGATGATTGTGGAGGTCTGGGTTCGAGTCTGCACACAGCCCCAGGCTTGTGGGTGACCTGGGTAGGTCTGCTCTCTGCAGAAAGTGAACATATGTTGGCTATGCCAGGGGCTTAGCGGCTCTCAAGTGGCCTAGGTATGGGACAGGATAGCCCTGCAAGGCATTCTGGGCTCTTTTACACACACCTGAGCCCCCACCAGTGGTAAATAGGTCTACGGAAAATATCAGTGATGATTATCTAAATGATAGTGATGAGGTACTTGGCTTTGTGGCTGAACTATTAATAGCTTCAAATCTCAACTCCATTACCTACAGCCTGTGGGCCTTTTTGTCTTGTCAGTGTTAAGCAGGTGCAAAGAGCATGGGCCTTGGTGTCACTGGTAGTGGTCTGGAGTTGCCGTCTATGCGCTGGTGAGAACAAACTACTGAATTCTCAGGGACTTTGTGAGCCAGTTGATAGACATATCATTAACAGCTTAACTACAATTAAATAAATTACATTAGAAGCGAGGGTTTAAAAAAAAAGATTTCAAACTCACCACTCTGCAAACATTTTACCATTACCTAGTCTCTTAGAGTTATTTATATGAACTATCTATAGATTGACATTTTTTTTCCTATGCTGAGGGTATCAAACCCAGGCCTTGTACATGCTAGACAAATTCTCACCATTGAGTCTTTATTTTATTTTATTTTTTTTGGTTTTACGAGACAGGGTTTCTCTGTATTGTTTTTTGGAGGCTGTCGGTCCAGCCTAGCCTCGAACTCACAGAGATCTGCCTGCCTCTGCCTCCCGAGTGCTGGGATTAAAGGCGTGCGCCACCACCGCCCGGCTTCCTTTGACTTTTCTAAGCAGTCGAAACTGCCAGGCTGAGATTCCATGGTCCTCCCTGCACCCAACGGAGAAGTTGACACTCAGAGGGTAGGTGGCAGATAGGCACAGAGAGGATTCCTCTGCTCATACCTGCTCCCATGGCTCCTGGAACCATCAGCCCATGTCCCCTTCAACACATTCTGCTCACGATGAAGGCCACGTTTCTATGACCCCCCCCCCCCCAGGTCTGTGTTCTCTGGGTGGACTTTCCTCCTGGCCAAGAGTGACCCTCCCCTGACCATATAGTCCCCCCAGCCCAGCTACTTTTTGGTGTGTGTTTTCCCCTCCCATCTCTGATACTTTGAAGTGCACCCTGCAGTCCTGGATATTTTCTGCCTTCAGTAAATGCCTTTTAGGAATCCAGCCCCAGAATCCGACTGTGATTCCTTAGTGATCCCAGATCAACCCTACGGACTCCTGCAGTTCTCAGACAGGTCCTGTCAAAAATCCCCCCCCATACCATAGCGCACATGTAAAGGTCCTTGCCTCCCACCATTCTTGGGTCAAGCTCTCTTCACTGTTCACTGTTCTGCATGTTAACTGGCTCATCATCTTCTGGGGATTCTCCAGCCACCACCTCCTATGTTGCCATGGGAGTGCTGGGATTATAGATGTGCATGGCCATGTCAGCTTCATATTGAGTTCTGGCATTTGGACTCAGCTCCTCTCACTTCTGTAGCATGTTTTACCCTCTGAGACACTTCCCCAGATCAGAGCTGTGTAATATTTCTGTAGAGACTTTGCAATGCCCATTCTATGAAGGGACATTTTCAATGTCTCCCGATCAGGTGTTCTCTCAACCTGAGAAGTCCTGGCTTCTATTGCTATGACTCAATCCTCCAAACCCTCAAGGGCAAGCTCAGATGTCCACCTTCCCCACTGAATGTGCAGTTTTTCGACCCCCAGTCTTTCCAAGTCCATTGCCTTCTCCATGTTCCTCTATTCCATCTCTCATCCTGGGCCCATCACCACACCTCACTGGGACGTTCTGTAGACATAAGTGAGGGCACGTACGCATTGCCACCTACATTCTGATGCCCCACTGCCAATTTAGGGTTTCCATTAGTGCAGTGCCCAGCCTCACCCCCACTTTGTCTCAAGGGGTTCAGGTTGGACCATGCCTGGGGATGCTGCTGACTCCAAATAGGTCCAGTGGGATTCTGACCAACCTACTGGCACCAACGTCACCTTCCATTCCTGTGTCTCTTGAGTTCCCGAGTGAAGAAACCCTTAGGTACCAAGAAAAGCCTTTTCTTTATTTTCTTAGGTAGATGGGACTGTGCAGCATGGTCCGCACTCTCTCTGGTCTACACCACAGTCTATCTCCAGAGGCTTCGATAGTCATCTACTGATGCCAGGACCTCATGAAGCTCTGTGTTTCAACAAAGTAACGTGAGGTAAAGCTATTTCCTATTTTGTCTATAATCATTGACTCCCAAGAGCCTAACCATCATGTGGCCTCATCTTCCGGTGGTTCCCATGGGGGTTCCCATACTTCTTCCACAAAATACCTGTTACATCTGCTTTCGACAACATCCCTGACCCAAATAAATCAAAGAAGAGAAGAAGACACAGGGGCAAACCCACTGTGGTAATGGCATAGCTTCTTGTCTTGCTGTCTAGATTCCTGGGGTCCTATCAAGCGAGCTTGGGCCCGGGAGAAGGCTGTTGGCTGTTGCAAGGAAAGGGGTCTTTCTTTCAGGCTCCAAAGTCTGCCCTCGTTAGCAGCAAGGATGGAATGTCTTGTGTATATGGAAAGGCAACACCGCTGACCTGGCATAGGAGGACTTTGGCAGTAAGCACTGCGGGGCTCATAACACAAGTCAGGCCTTTCCTGGCTCCAAGGCGGGGTCTCGGGAGAGGTGCAGACCTGGAAGCACTGCACCTGGCTGCACGTTTGGTATCCTGGGTGCGGAGCTGGGTTGCACAGGCTGAGGTCAGAGTTAATGAATCCATACTTATTTTCTTAGTTCTGCTAGTTTGTCCCTCACATGTGTTTATAGACTCCGCGTTTTTTATAGATGTGTTTTATGCATGTCTGTAGGTTTTATCTGATGCTCCTAAGGGACCATACCTTCTTTGGTCAGCCAAATGGTAGGTAGGGGAAGACCTTGATCTTAGAGCACCGAACTGTGGTTAAGAGTTCTCACCAGCCCCAGACTGTGTTGCGCCACCCAGTCCCGCCCATCTCCAGACCACGCTGTAAAATTGGACATCAGCTCCCTGTCTCTCGTGGTGATTTAAAAATGGACTTGTGGTCATGCTTTATGTGCCCTTTGACTCCCCTCCCCCTCACCCCAGGAAAAGCTAGATGCTATCAGACCAAGTTGTGTTTAGCTGTAACCTTTTAGCCTGGGCTTTCTGCAGGTGGTCAAGGTTGCTTAGCTTGACCCAGCTTTCTCTAGAAAGAAGGCACGTCCCCAGACCAGAACCAGGCTCCAAGGTGGAAGATGAAGAAGGTGGGTGCTCTCTTTCTGTGGACGTCTCAGGAGGGGTGGGATGGTGAGTGGATCTTGGAACGGGGAGCTAAGGCTATACTGGGTGATGGTGGGTAGATGATCAGCCATAAAATCTCCCTACTGCCCTGCCCCTCCCCAAGAAGCTTCACCAGGGAAGGCTTCTTGTTTTGTTTGGAAAGCCCAGAGCGTTACACACAGTCTGAAGTCAGGGTCTGATGGAATTTATGAGTCTTTTGAGCGTCTCATCAGGTTATGTTCTCTGGCCACGGTGGCTCCAGTAAAGGTGCCCGTGCTGTCACCCAAGGGACAAGGATGAAGTCCCTTCCACATTCTCCCTCTGCTTTCTCATCTCAGCACACTCTATGACCAAGTATCTCCGTGGCGATCTTGCCTGGTCCAACTGGTCCTATGAAGTGAGTGGTCCCATGCCTACCTCTGCCTGGCCCCTGTAACCCTCACTGTGCTGGAACTCACTCTGTAGAACAGGCTAACCTTGAACTCAGAGGTTCACCTGCCTCTGCTTCCAGAGTGCTGGAAATAAAGGCATGTGCCTCCACCGCCCTGCTGGCCCTGCTTCTTAGTTTGTTTGTTTGTTGGGTCACAGCTGCCTGCCTCGACCTTCCTCCCTCACGGTTCTCTGTCATCAGCGTTGACAACAGGCTCTGTTCCTCCTCCTATCATTTCCAGGACACGGTTTGACCAGACTTAGGTAGGGGCACAGGAGAAAAGGCTGAGTCTGCCTAGGTCTGAGCCCATAAAGGGAGCAGCCAGCTGCCCGCGCCCTGCATGCCAGCCTGGATTTCCTATTAGACACAGCTTTACGGCAGGAAGGCCTGCCCGCCAGAGCCTGGGGCTGGCAGCTCCATCTACCCGTTCTGGACCTGGATGTCTGCCCTAGCAGATGTGATTTAGCTTGCTTCGGGAGAAATAGCTATAAAAAAGTTAACTATTGTCGTAAAAGCAGCCCATCAGACCCAGGGCAGGACTGCTGGAGGGGTGCCCAGCCCCTGGGTCACTCTCATCTCAGAGACCACGACTCTACTAGCCAAACGCCCCCTCTCCCCCCTGCCTCCCTCCGCCACCTCTTCCTCTCTCTCGGCACAAGAAGGGTGTCACATCACGGAACTGTCCTGATGGGCAAAGGTTGTGTCATTGCTGTTGCATTCCTGAAGACGGTCTCCTCCCATGCTGCGGAGACAGGGATATGTACCCCCTCATGCGCATGCGCATGCACCTGCATTACCTGGAGTGGCCTGAAGGGGACTCTCTCCATCTCTCTTGGGCTTTTAATTAGGAAGGAAGCCCAGAAGCGAAAGAGGAAGGTGGCCCACCATTGTGCAAGCCTCGGGTAGATTTCCCCATGTCTCTTTTCACATAGTGTACTATCATATTCAAAAGCTAATGCTCTTCCATTCTCCCCGGGGCCTGGACTTTATGGTACGAAGGAGGAGCTGTGGGAGGGAAGCAGTTTTTGAAGAGGAGGCCCCGTTGGCCTCTCTCCATTTTCCCCTCCACCTGCGACGTAGGAAGGAGGGGAAGCGATGGAAGCCAGGAAGAGTTTTGTCCTCTAGGAAGCGTTCGTCCTTTCTCCCTTCTTTAACTGCACAGCTCAAAGCCCTGGCCCCCAACTTGGAAAGAGTATGCGATGCTCAGTAAGGCAAGTATGGCAGACTGGGGGTCTCCTTGTGGACCATTTCTGTGGCGACGGGTACGCACATACTCTGATGGAGGCCGGAGTATCATTCTTCATAATGCCATCCACCTTGGTATTTGACACAGGGATGGACCTGCTTGGCCTGGAACTCATTGATTCTGCCAGGCTGCCTGGTCAGGGGCCACCCAGGGTGGGCCGTGTCTCTTCCTCCTCGGGGCTAACATTACAAGCGCAGGCTGCCATGCCCAGCCCTTTGAGGGTACCGGGGACTGAACTTGGGTCCTCATACTTGCACTTCACCAACCGAGCTGTGGTCCCAGCACCAGCCCGTGATTTGGGTCGTGTGTTTCCTTTGCCCCACATGGTGTGCATCCTTGTTTCTGGCCATGCTGAGGAATAGATTAGGCATCGGCTCCAGGAGAAGAAAGGGACTTCATATTTGAACACTGGTTGGTTGAGAGGTGTTGGGCTTGGCTATGGAGTGGAGAACTTATTCTGGAAAGCTGTCTTTTTGGGGGGGGGGGTTCCAAAGGCAGGTGCCTTGCGCTTTGGTACCTTGAGAGCAAGGCACCTGCCATGATACCGGAGGGAAGAGGTGCTAAGGGGCTAGTGGCCATCAAAGAGACAGCTGAGTGGGAGACCTGCTCGAACAGGTCCTTGTGAGAGCCACCGGGATAAGTAGGAAGCAGAGGAGGGAGCCATGGGCAGCCTCCTTCCCACTGCTAGCCATTGCCGTGAAATGAGGGACCCAGCCTCACCTCCTCCAGAGCTCTACGTGCTCCTGGAGGACGACCAGTGGGGTGAGCAGTGAGCCCAGTAGCTGCACTGGACTGAACTGCCCAAGCCTTCCGTCAGTGTCTCGATGTGTCTACATGGCTCCACCAAGGGGGACCAGCTTTCTGCCCTTGAGGGTTCTAGTGAGAAGGACACACATACACCATATTTTCAGGGCACACAGAGTGCATGAGTAAACACTAGACAGTGTCTGTGTCACCCTGCTCTGGTGGGAGTAACGGGCTAAGTCATGCCATGGGCAGGCAGGAGAGACCCTGGGCCCGTGAATCTTGTTCTCCTTGGCTTTGGTGTGAATCACAGCCACCGTTTTCCAGACATGGACACTGGTGGACTGCTAAGGCTTTTCTTCCCTGGAGACTGATTGTCTCCTGCCGTGATAGGTCACATTCCGTTTAAATGCCACTCTCCCCAGCGACGCTGCAGGCAGAACCAACCCCAGGATGCCAGGGAAGGCAAGGCTCAGGGAGATGGGCCATAGCTTGATTGCTTCTTGGTTTGAAGATCCCATCCCTTGTCTCACGTGAGCTGGCACATGGAAGGCATCAGTCATACTTTCCAGTGACTGACACTTGTGTGTGTGTGTGTGTGTGTGAGTGTGATGTATGCAGTTTGTGTGTTCGTGTGTTGTTAGTGTGACATGAATATAGGAACATGTGTGTGATATGAGAGTGTAAAGACTCCTGAGAAAGACAAAGAATATGCCAGCTGGCCATAGGCACAAAGTTCAGGCTCCTACCTTCCTGTGGATAGAGCAGTTCCTGGGTCTGGTTCAGTATATCCAGGAGAAGGAAGTGGGCAGTCCTAAATTGAAAACTTGCATGTTTTTCTGGCCCAGGTCCCTGATAAATAAGACTTCCCTTTTGGAGAGCTAATTCCCATGTTTCCACTTGTCTGTCTGTCTGTGATATACCCTGCTTGTTGGCTGTTGTGGTCTCTCCCTTTTACAGCCAGGAGGGAGACAGGGAAGTAGGAAACTGGAGAGGCCTGGTGGCTGTCCCCAGGCTGTGTAAGGAGTGGAACTGAGCTTGGTGCCACGGCTGGGACTACTCGGAGGCAGGAGTGCACAGCTTCTTGGGAGCCCCTCCATGTCTTATGTCTGTCTAGCTCCTAGATGGAGGGCCAGCAGCCCTGTGACACCTCAGGGTCTCCAAGCTGTCCTAGCCTCTCTCATCGCAGAGGAATCACACAAGTAGGAAAGCCCACAGAAGGTTCAAAACAAAGTGAGTTTCAGGTCAGCACCGAATGGTTTTCTGACAGTTAAGTCCCATACATGGCATGGGGAGCACTTATGCTAAAAAGACTGTTTGTTTTTCCGACATTTGCGCTGAGCTGAGAGTATCGCCATGCTCTGACTGCCTTTGCTTAAAGGGAAACCAGTGATGACAATGAGAGACTGAGAGACCTCCTTCTTTATTCTGGGCACTGAGCTGCGTCTTCTTGCGTGTTCTTCTCACTTAAACCTCGCACGCCCCATGCTGCATCCCAAACA